TTTTTTTCTGGAAATTGACTTTTCCCACGAATAAAACATTGCATCAGCATTGGCGCATGGAGCAAGTCTTAGCAGTTACCATGTGCACTTCTCGAGTTCTCAAAACTTCGAAAGTGCTTATATGACTCAACAATCACGGCAGGAGGTGCAAATTCACCATTAATGGACTTTCAAGGTCAAAAAACTCTGACAAAACTTTCAGCACGTTCATTTTGCTCTCTTGCGAGGCTATGCCAAACGGCATAGCTATTATCAGGGCATAACGAGGGAGGCAGTTCACCCTACATAGCGTAACACATAATCACCAGGGCTGGGTTGGTCGAAAGCCGGTTAACACTAACCAGGGATTAAAAGTTAACCGTAGTATTAATTTTTCTCGCAAAAAAATGTTTTTTACTGCTTACGTTTTGTGTAGTTTGAGCATAGTCAAGCTCAAAACGGAAGGAAAAACAGTTTAAACAGAAAACCTTACCGAAAAGTTACAAAACTCAAATCAAAATTCTCGCTAATCCTGGGTTAGCTTAATCGGGCTTTGAACAACCCGGCCCAGACCTCAATGCCTATTGAAGACTAGTAAAGAGTAACCAAACCATTTCAAGAGGCTACATCCTGACTCGGCAAACGAGATACTATATTTCATCATTGATGTGCTATCATGACACTAACTCTGACAACAAGGCTACAATGGCAACAGAACAAGAGGCCTGAATACCACTGCAATGGTTCAAAACGTTTTATGGTATTCAGAACCAAGATGGTGGATTTATTTCTTGTTCTCTAGTTATTTTTTTTTTACTTTCATTTGGATTTCCAAAGTTGTTTCAAGAATTCAGTTGTAAGACTGACAGCTTGAAAATCGCTAAGAAACCTAGTTGAGTGTCGATGTCCCATGATCATGAACAAAGGTGAAACATTTAGCTCTTTATCAACTTGAAGTTGAAAGAGACCAATAAACCACCGTAGCGAGTCTGTGAAGCTGATGTTTCAAGTGATAGCCCTTTGTCAAAGCTATTAATTAACCTTTATCAAGTTCAATTTGGCGAATAGCTAAACGTATGTCAAAGTAAAAACATATATTAAGGCTTCTCAGCAGTAAAAAGCAAGAGATAGCTTTGAAAAACCACACGATGTGTTTGAAATTCATATTGTATTAAACAAGAGGTGTTTCTGATGGAGCATTATCCATCGTCAGTTTACAAGAATACCAACAGAAAATGAGCAATAAATAGTCAACAGTGTGATGAAAATAAGAAAGTGAAAACATAACACTAAAGATCATTTAACCATCTCAAATGCAGGAGTAAATTTGACTGCCTGATATATGAAATGTTATATATCAGAGATCTTAAGGTAGTACTCAATACTCAGTCAAATTCAATCGGAGCAAAAGTGTTTGTTTAATTGACATAGTTTCCTAATAGTCACGAGTTTTCTTGTCGCTTACAGTATTTTGCCACCTTATGCACATAATTGTAGATCCTTTTACATAATGCATAAACTAAGCTACACATTTACTTAACAATAACATCCGACGATGTCGAAAAACTGTATATTTCTTTCGCTCATACTAATTAGTTTGCATTATTTTAGTGTTATATTTTCACTTTTTTTCTGTTTGGCGTCTTAATCCTTAATTATTCTTATTTTCATCACACACGGTTAACTATTTATTGCTCATTTTGTATTGGTATTTTTGTAAAGATGGATGATGTTTCATCCGAAACATGTCTTGCACTACAATATGAATTTCAAACACATCGTGTGGTTTCTGAAAAAAACCCAATAATATTCACATTTAAAGGCATTGCCCTCATCATCTCTGTCGTAGTTTTCGCTATTCTTACATTGATAAATAGGATAACAATAAGTTCTCTTTGAGGACCGAGTTATTTTTAATAGCAAACCACAGTCATAGACATAGCGAATTCTCCAGTGGACAACTGCTGTAAGTTGCAAGATGACGTCTGATAACTTAAGCCTCAATTGCCTTGTTGGTTGAGCAACCTTAGTTGTCCTTAACTCCGAGGTTCCTTGTCAGTACTTCACGGGGGCTGTGCTTTATGCCATATTACTTTTCAAACTACTGAACATTCTTTAACGTGTCTGTCTGCCAGGCTATATGCTTTCTTCCTTGAAGTCAGCTAAAAGCACTTGGAGTAAACAAATAATTTATTTTTGTATCACTTCACTGTCTCCAGTGTCCTCAATTGTTTCTTCATCTGTGGAATTCTGCAAAACCTCGTCAAGTGGTAGAGCTTCGTGAACATACTGGAGTGAGCCCCCATCAGCAAAGTCTGCCACGGTGTGTCCTTGGCCGGTTAACACCCACCTTGAAGTCAGCAATCCCTCCACTCCTACCGGGCCCCGTGCGTGAATTCGACCCGTGCTGATACCCACTTCCGCCCCTACAATCAATTAATATGCATTTAAGTACCTTTCTATCGCACCCTCTGGCTTTATTAGGAATTTGATTATGGCTCCTTCAATTCTAAGCGCAATCATCCCTTCACTGGCGATTTCTCGGGCATTTATCAGAAAAGTTGCGAACTCCCCACGTGGAGTCGGCTTGTGTATGTCAAATCCCTACCCATGGGACAACATTAAAAATATTAGTGTATCAATATTAATGAGTCTTTCTTCAAACCAAATATTCTAGTACACGAAACCGCCTTGTTGACAACTAAAGCGTAACATCTATAAACAAAAGTGATGTAAACCATCTCCTCCAAGACAAACTCAAGCCAATTCTAAGTAACCCCGTGATCCAAAGAAAAACAAATTGAAATATCCGCATTCGTTTATTTATGAAACAAAGAGATTCCTATAGAACTGGAAATGACAATGTCAATATAAAGTTTCATTCAAGTTTCTTGTAGGTTAACGAAAACTATTCTCCTTAGGCAGAGACCTCCTGTTCAACTTCGCTTTGCCAGCTCGCATGTTGAGTACAAATATGAACTTGAAGGGGATGTGGTGGAGTGGGGCACGAGCTAGCCTTCAGTAGGTCAAATCTCAGAAAAGAGATACACATCTACTCCCTTGATGTAACACCATTTCAATGTCAAATAAACTGTTTTTCCTTTGTTAAAAAATTACTGATGAAAGTTAACGTTTGTGAAGAAATTGACAATGCCCGACCACTGCCCTCATCCTTCCCGCAGCGACAGTCGCGCTTGGAATTACAGGAGCCATAATTTGGGAACAGCATATATTGTATTGAACTGAATTGTACATACCGAGACCAAATCGATAGCCATCAGAAAACCTGGTGCTAGTGTTATGAAACACACATGCACTGTCCACAGCTGTTTGGAAGTGCTTAGCAGTTTCACCTATAAAGAAATAATTATACCATAAGTGTAAAATTTTTTACACATTCATTAGCTCATGAAACCATCGCGCACGGATCTTAAAAATTTCGCAAAATTGTTTGTGTACTGGCAAGAAACTGATCTTTGCACAAGATGCCGCTTACATATTTCAACTTCTCAGATGTTGCTGCAATTATTTCATTACTTTTTTGTTAACTGGAGCAAGTTGCAGTGGAGGGGGGAGAAACCACGACACTGTGCTCATCGCTAGAACAACCAGAGCACTTCCGAGAGACTTAGTTTGGTCGGTCTGTATGGTAGAATCTTGACCCCAGTCTTGAGTACAGACCAAACGCAGTGAGGTCTCTACTAACGACCGAGGTCAAGATTCTCCCATAGAAGTAGGACGAAGTTCAGTTGACAAAATGTTCATTTAATGGCCAAACAAGAAAACTTTAATACGTTTTGAGTGGCTTTATGTAGCCGGATCGTGGTCGCTGCCATTTTGCTTACGAATTGGCACGAAAAATTTCGTCAAAAGAAGGTCCAACACACTAACAGGTATGTTTTCAATTTCTCTAGCCTCTTTCATTGACTAAAAAAATGACCTACGGGCGTTTCAGTCGCTCTTAGTCTTGCATTGAGTACTTTATATTTCTGAATTGCAGAAAACTTCTCAATATCGTACTGAACTGGTGTTTGATTGCCTGATTGGAACTTTTTAAAATTTACCATAGTTTCCTCGGAAACAAGCCAAATGATTTTGTCTTTTGTTTGCAACTTTCAACACGGCGGGAAAACGCGGGTAATCCCGAGCGAGCAAGATAGCGCCATCTTGCCCGCTCGGTTAGCCTGCATAGGATTCAGTTCATCTTGCCCGCTCACGGAGTTAGCCATATAATAAAGCCGAATACAAAACTAAATTGACAGGACTGAGATTAAGCTCGACTGCGACACTATTAGAGAAGCTCCTTGGGAACACAGCTGAACCAACGTGTGATTGTGCGGCGAGGTCCAGCACCCTAAGTTACTAAAAAATAGAGAAGCCATTTTTTTCACTCGTAGATGGACAGCAAAGGATATCCAAAGATTGAACATCCGATCAGGACGAGCAAAAAGCACTGCACACTGGTTTGGTAGATACTAATTTTGTCTTATTACACGACTAAGTTAGTTCAGATGGCCAATAACTAAAATCAACCAATCGGATTGCTCCATTGCCGGTCCAATATTCTCTTGTCTCTCTTCTCTTGTCCCGAATGATCCCGCACGTTCACCCTTGAAGATTTTCTGTAGTTTTATGGCTTTGGTCTCATCAGCTATCGTCGTCTAATAGAAAGTACAGCTACAGTAGTCTAATTGTTAAACAGTATTACTGCATTTAGTCAACACCGTTGGTGTTCGGAAACAGGCAAATGATATTCTTACGGTTGTCAGTGACAATGACGTCAGTATGTGAGCTTCCAAACTGATGAATGTGTTCAATAGCTTCCTCCGTATTCCTGACAACTTCAACTGCACACTCCAGCCCGCTATACTCTTTCTTCATACTCTTGGCAGGAGCCGGAGCCAGTGGTAACATCTTGACTAGGTTAGGTCCAGCGTGAACTGTTACCTTGCGATACAAGTAACAGATATATTTTAGAATTACCTTCATTTACAAGCGTTTGCTCCACAAATATGGGCATTTGAAATCAAACATCACGATCAAAATCAAATATTAGACGCAATGGTACACTTAAAGGACAAGTTCCAAATAAATGTACGAAACCTGCACATTACCGTAAAAAGTTTTATGTATAGTATAGCACAAAAGTGGCAAAAACGTTTCATCTTTGTTGTCACAAATTGATAAATACACTCCACACCTAAATATTGTAACCTTAACAATCTGCACTAAAAAACAAAACAGTGCTCTAAAAAAAAAAACATCGGCACGCAAGGCGTGCAAGAGTTATTTTTTGGTGAATTACAAGCCCCTGGAGGTAGCAGCACTAAGTTCACTCTTAAGAGCTATGATAAGGTTAATCCAACAAGTTCGTTTGGTTACCATGTACAGCGAAAAAAGAAAAAAAAATAGAATTCGTTTCATCTTACGAAAGCCTACTTTTATCAAGGTTTGATTTTAACAGTCGATCAGTGGCTTCGGTCAGTGGCAGTCGATCAGCAAGACACCTAAACATCACGCAGTCTGTAATAGTAACTAACGGTAAACGGCAGATTGGTGTTGATTCTGGGTAATTTTTCTGACTCATTTTATAATAAGAACCAATTTAATTATAACATCGTCACGCAATAGCATGGTAGTTTCTTATCGGTTCAACCTCGTCCCCAGGGCCTTCTCCTCGACGATTTTCAAAATAGCGGCTCATAGGGAGAAGACCCTGGGCAAGGCTGGGTCACATGGTACAAAATGGAGATTTTTATCACGTGACATTTTTGGAAGGCCAAAACAAAATGGTAGCCAAAGTTGAGTTCGAAATTTACCTTAGAAAGAGGAATAGTTATGCACGAGGCAGTGATGGCTTCCTAAAAAGATAACCCAGTAGTTTCGCTGGGTTTTTGGAAGCAGGTCGCTTAGTTAAAGAATCTGGAGCGTTACGGTACGTAAAATAATATCCTGTTTCTACTGTTCTCCCTGCTGGGTGATAAGCGTACATGAAATAAAGAACATTATAGTTATTTTCCCAACCGTGCTCTCAGTTTTTATGTAACTCTCAATTCAGAATGAACTTAAAAGAGATACACTGAGCAACCCAAAATATGTGCAATTTTTTTACCTAAACACGAGCGAGACCTGGTTGACCTGGTTGTATTGAATTAATTTACAAATGAATTTAAGGCCCGGTTCATACGTCGCATTTCTGCCGAGTCGAATTCAATATAACGAATTAAATTCGACAGAAATTCGACGTCTGAATCGGCTGCCACATTTCTGCCGCACGTTCGACTGTTCTTGTCGCAGTATCCGACAGAAATGCGACACCGATTCAGACGTCGAATTTCTGCCGTGTCGAATCTAATGCATACATTATGATAATGTATTGAGCATGCGTAAATGCTTTCCCGCCAAAGAAAAGGAGAAACTTGGCCATTCTCGACCCAATGCAACCTGAACATATTGCAACACATACTGCTCCGTTGTCAACCTTCTCCTTCTCGTTCCATTGGCAGACAATTTTTAGCAAAATTAAAGTCCTTCGTCGCTCAGTATCTTCGTCCGCCATATTGAATACTCTACGTTTAAAACATTTTCCGCTGGCCGACGTACCCGACAGTATAAATTCTGAATTAAGTGCGACACAAGTGCGATGTATGAATCCACAGTCGCATTTCTGCCGCACTTAATTGAATTGAATTCGACACGGCAGAAATGCAACGTACGAACTGGGCCTAAGAATTTAATTTAACTTGTGTCTACCTGAGTGGCCATTCTTGTTGTGTAATGTTTTAAATCCTGTGATTGTTAAGACCCTTTTTGAGTAAAGTTAACCTAAAATCAATCACGCTAATAGTAAATTCTTTTGCCTGAACTGTGTGTTGTACGGTTTTCCTTTTCAAATGAATTATATTCAGTGGCTGAATGTATGTAATGGAGAATGAGTTTATCTCAAGAAATTATTAAAAGTTGTTAATTATTATTCACTGGCATAAAGTTAAAAGAATAAGTTTATGTACCTAAAGCAGCTGAAAGTACACGATTCTTCCAACTTAATATTGACCTGTCACAACAAATCATTTTGCTTCTCATTTCTGCTGAGTTAATTTCACTTTTATTGCAATAACAGTGATCAGCTCTCAAGAACTGTTTTGGATTTGGGTGTACATTTGCAGTGTAAAGCTGTTAGCACCAACTGCCAGAAACATTCTACAATAAACAAAAGTTGCTACCCCATGCAGTAGTTTTTGTGTTTGTGTTTCTCCAACTAGGAGAAGAGCAGCCTCTCCCTTGTTATGGATGAAAATAGAGCAATTGTAGAAATGATACTGCCTTCACCTTAAAAAAAAAAAAAGGTCTCAGAGATCCATCAGCATTTAGTTAACAATAGGCTTCACTTTTATAAACTAATAGACCATACTGGAATCTGCACTTGACCTTGACTGAGCATTTCTTTTCTCACTTTCCAGTTATGAGAAGAAAATGACTGAGATTACCATTCTAGTAATTATGTATAATGGGAAAAAAAAATTGTGTTCTGGTTATGTTGAGAAAATATCATATCAATTATCATTTACTGATTAGTGATACGCAAGACTCTTACAATTGCGACAATGAATTCAAGTCCAATGATTGCCTTATCATACACAATAATGCTTGTTTCTGAGGTTCTCACAAATTCATTCCTGAATGAAGAGCTTTCAAGGTGGTTATTGCAGTTGGCAGCCTTGGAATATCTATGATCCCTTTCAAAACACAAATTCATGAATTTGTGTAATGCAGAGGAAATCAAAGCTATGTCAGTTGTCTGAATGTGGAATGTTAAGTATTTTGCACAGGTTTTTACAATAATATTATATTTCTCATTTACTCCTTAGAGATGCATAACCAGACGAACCACAAATGTTTGCCCAAGTTCGTCCAGACGGATATAACACGCCTTTAGTGCAAATGTGGCAAGGATGCATCAGCCATCTGGATGGATAATTTATCTCAGTTAGTACGCGTGCTGTGATTGGTCAATTTCGCGGGCTGTATTCTCCTGTACGGCCCGCTAAAATATAAAGCTGTTTTTGTTGCCAAAATGTTTCGTGATTTATCGCCAAGTGTTCTTAACTTTTTTAGCAAGTAAAAGTTTAAAACTTTCTTTTAATTCCAGAATTGTGTATTAAAACCTCCTAATGACAAGAGTCACTTAACAATGATTTCAAATTGGGTCATTTTGCTTTCGAGGTGTGTCAGAAATTTGAAGCCGTTCGCGTGAATAGAAATCGTTGCTGAGCCGTCAGACACACAGTAGAGATATAATAAATATCTTACTAACCTTGTTTTCTCGGTCCGTACTGTAAGTTACGGATCCTCGTTTCCCCCTTCGTTTATGGCCCACGTGCTTCGCGCTTGGGCCATAAATCGATGGGGAAACTTGGTCGGTAACTTACAGTACGGCCCTCGAACTCGGTTAGTAATTAATAATTAGACCCGTGGCCCTTGAGGACGAAGGGTCTAATTGTTTTAGTAACACCCTACTAGTCGGACAGAAAAGGCAATAATAAAGTTAGCAAATGCAAGTTGAAGAAATATTTATTTGGNAGCGGGTCGTATTCTACTGTACGGCCCGCTAAAACTTAAAGCTGTTTTTGTTGCCAAAATGTTTCGTGATTTATCGCCAAGTGTTCTTAACTTTTTTAGCAAGTAAAAGTTTAAAACTTTGGTTTAACTTCTGAAAATGTGTATTAAAACCCGCTAACGATATGAGTCACTGAACAACGATGTCAAATTCACTCGTTTTGCTTTCGAGGTGCGTCAGAAATTTGAAGCTGTTCTGCGTGAATAGAAATCGTTACCGATCCCGTCAGACACACAGTAGAGATATAATAAATATCTTACTAACCTCGTTTTCTCGGTCCATACTGAAAGTTGCAGAGCCTCGTTTTTCCCCTTCGATTTATGGCCCGCGCGCTTCGCGCCTGCGCCAGAAATCGATGTGGGAAAAACTCGGTCCGTAACTTACAGTACGGCCCTCGAACTCAGTTAGTAAGAGGTATTTATAATTTCAACCCATGCGGTATTTTTGAGAAAATGACATCATTTTGTCAAATTCTCAACCAAGACTTGGAACAAGGAAAATTAATGACGGCCGTAAATTCTCGGAAATAAAGGTCCAAAAACCGCGACTTCTAATGTTTGTAATAGATTGAAATTTGGCAAGATATCTAGGAAAGACCTGTTGTTTATGAATATGTAAAAAAAAAATGGATATCAAGAATTTTATCATAGTGGCACTTTAACGTTTGGCCAATATAACGGAGATCACTCAAATAAACAATAATTTGTGGATGCTTTCAATTGTCACAAGTGAGGATGAATGGTATGAGCGGGGGGGGGGG